CCCCCGTGGTGGGCCCAGGGCCAGGCGGCCACGGCACCCCTGCAAGGCCCAGAGCCAGGCGGCCACTGCACCCCTGCGAGGCCCAGAGCCAGGCGGCCACCACATCCCTGCGAGGCCCAGAGCCAGGCGGCCACCGCACCCCTGCGAGGCCCAGAGCCAGGCGACCACCGCATCCCTGCGAGGCCCACTTTCTGGCCATCCGATGGTGCCTTAAATGAAGGGGCCTCGAGAACACAGGACCCCGGGCATGTCTCAGGATGGGGCAGAAGAATCGACGAGAAGGAAGGGGTAAAGAGTAAAATGGGGCCAGCCTGTGGCATGGTGGTTAAGGCCACTGGATACCACAGGACCAACGGTGTGGTTCGAATCCCAGGCTTGGTGGCTTGAGAAACACACTGGGCATGTGTGCGTGTGGCCCAAATCCCGACCGGACGGAGAGATGAAGAGACTGTGGCATGGCCATCCCCCACAGGGGGTACTTTCTTGCTTTCTCTCTCTCTCTACAGCGAGGGCATGCACCCTCTGGTGAAATGTAAAATAAATAATTAATTAAATAAATAATAGGAGAAATCGAAGGTCACGGTGCCATGAACTGACAAAGCCACCACTGTGTGCTCAGTAAGGTGCTAGGTCTTCAGGGCAAACCCACAGGGCACAGGGCACCTCTCTGCCCAAGAACCATCAGAACAGGGTGATGGACTTGTCACATCTGGCCACCCCAGATACCTACTCCCCACCCAGCCCGCCGCCCTCCTCAAGCAGATCCCCCCGCTGAGCTCCACGGGCCCAGAGGGTAGCAAACACGATCAGTGCACCGTCAGAGAAGGTTCTGGAATGGGGCAGGAAAGACAGGGGGGAAGGAAGAAGACATTCCAAAATAGGGCAACGGTGAAGCAGAGACTGAGACATGGTTGTGACAGCCCCGTTTGTCTCCAGATGCCGCCACCCGCCACACGGAACCGGGAGCCCAGCACTCACAGGCCGACCGTCCTTGAGCCAGCGCCTCTCGGGGAGGGGCCTCCCGGCCAGGATGATGCAGGGCAGGGACACGGGCTGGCCCTCCAGGACCCGGATGGTGGAGGCGCTGCTGGCGATCTGTGGGGGAACTGCAGGGACAGGAGCAGTGTCAGAGCCATCGAACAGCAGCCATCTGAGGGACAGAGCCCCACTCCAACTCCATCCAGGGGACCGTGGGAGCACCAGGATCAGGCCCCGGGCACTGCCCAGGGAGCAGGGAGCTAGGCTGGAGCCTGGGTGAACATCTGTCCCAAGGCTGCAGTGGCCAGAGGGGCCTCCCTGGGAGAAGCACCTTCCTCCCCACCTCCCAGAGCTCTCAGATCCGCCAGCGAACCGTGTCCAGTGACGATGAGCCGGGCCTCCGCCTGGACCTGCCCAAAGACATTTCGAGCTTCGCAGACATAGGGGGCCTGGTCTTCAGGGGCCACGCCTGAGGGGCAGGAAGGAGACAGGCCTGAGTGCCCGGCTCTCCGGACACAGCCGCAGAGGTTCTGGAGGAAGGGCGAGATGCAGAGAGGGGAGGGAGGGGGACCCCGCTGGGCCCTGCTGGGCCCCGATGGGTGAGGTCTCAGCTTGCTCCTCCATGGATTGGGGTAACTGCCCGGCATCTGAACCTTGCAGTGCTCCCAGGAAGGCAGGTGAGACCTGCAGATGACTCGTCCAGTGGCAGGGGCAACTGCGTGATGGTGGCAACGGCATGTGCTTGTGCATGCTTAGGTTAGGGGCCAGGAACTGCCTGAGCACGTGGGTGCATCCCCACACCCCACACTGGAAAGTGGGCCTCCTTTGAACCCCACTGGGAGGCTGCATTGTCAGGGTTATGACCAGGTTCCCAGGAGTTGGGTGCCTTAGCCGGAGTCCAGCCAAGACACGAGCAGCATCGGCCCGCCCCAGGGCCAGCGCTGCAGCCAGGGTCCTGCTCCCGGCCACCCAGCCTGGGGCCATGGTGCTGGCCGCTGTCCCGTGTCTGCAGCCCACTCCACCCCAGTCCCAGCCTCTTACTTTCAAAGAACAGCACTCCTGGGTCAGGCTGTCCAGGCCCGCTGTGCCGCGCAGGCCCCAGCGGCTGGCCATCTCTGCGGCGCCAGGTGACCCTGGGGGGTGGGCGGCCTATGGCCCTGCATGCCAGGAGGGCGCTACTCCCCAGCTCCACGGCGACATCCCGGGGCCGCTCTGTCAGCCGGGGCGCATCTGCAGGGAGCTGATGGTCAGCCATGTCTGGTCCCCAGTGTGCCAGCTCCCCTCCCTTGGCTGAGAGGTTCCCCTCCTCCCGCCTTGCCCATGTGAAACTGAAGGCTGACTCCTGTCCAGGGCTCAGGACAACCTAAGCTCAGCAGGGCCCACCCCGAAAAGTCCAGGAACACTACAGGCCTTGGGTGTCCCATGTGGGGTCCCAGAGGTCCCGCTGTGCAGGGGAGTGACATGCCTGCCCCTGGCCATAACGCCCCCGCTGGAAGCCTACCTCTGGGGGCCTACAGGTCACCCTCAGGCTGCAGGAATGTGTGTTCCTGGGTCTGATGATGACCATGGCTGGCCAGGGCAAGGCAGGCCCCACTGCTCTCAGACTGCCCCACCCACCCACCCATTGGCCTCCTCCTGGGCCCCGGGGGCAAGGGGCTTCCTCTTGGAGGTGCCTGAACTCACCCCCACCCTGTACCTGGCCTGGCCTGACCTCTGCTGAGGGAGACTGAGGCCGGGGAGGGCTGGCAGGGCTCAGGCAACCATACCCACGTCCCTCTGTGCTCTGTCACTCCCCTGAGCCTGCTCTGCAGGGGACTGTGGGCATCTTTATCCACCTCTACGTGTCCCTGCTCACTGAACTTCTCGTAATAAGCACGTGGAACGTTTCCATGCGGTTACAACTTGCTTATTATAAATAACATGACCTTTGACTTTAAGGTCCCAACTGGGACTCTGGAGAGTGAGAAACGCCCGCGTTAATAATCGTGCCAGGCCCACCGGCCTGGATGAGGGCTGTCCTGGTCGTCTGCGTTAGGAAAAGTTCAAACAAGACACAGAGGGTGGAGATTCCCCCAGTGCTTGCTCTGCACACCCCAAACCCCATGCCCTTCCCCGAGATAACCACTACAAGTTCAGCCTTTCTTCCAAGCTTTGTTCTAAGCACTCTTACTTTAATAATCAGGATGAGGGGGAAAAAAGTTATTTTCCAGAACAGAAACTCAAGACCCTAGCTGTCAGACCCTCTGTAGGCCAGGTGCAGGCTCCCCCATCCCCAGACCCATCACCAGGGGCTCCCAGCCTTTTAACCCTGGAGTTCAGCACCCTGAAAAAGCCCCCAGCTTGCATTTTCCCTGCCTCTGTCCAGAAATCTTCCTCATCCACCCAAGGCATGACATCAAATTTCCCTGCTGGCGTCGGGGTTAGGGAAGTTCCAGGAGACAAACGCGGCTCGGAAAATGACTGCAACAGGAAGCCAGCCTCAGACCTAGCCCGGACACCAGCACGGGGGCGTGGGCTCGGCGCAGACGGGGTCACTGCTCCTGCAGAGTCTTGGCTCCGGGGTGCAGCCTTCCATCTCCCACCGCACCCGGAAGAGCAAAGGCTCAGCTCCAGGGCTGGGTACCTCTGCCTGCCGGCCCCCGGCCCACCGCAGGGCCCAGCTCAAGCCTGCTTCCTCCCAGCAGGCATTGGGCCACTCGCTCAGGCTGCGTCCCACCCAAACAGCCCAGCTCAGTGTCCTGCCTCTGGGATATTCGGGGGCCATTATCTTCCCCAGTCCTGAGCTGGCCCATCATCGGCCAGCGATGAGAAAGGGGGACGCTTGGTGCCAACTAAGACAAGTGCTTGCAGGCACAGACTGTGCTTCGGCCACCTCAGAGGGTGTCCTCACGGTCCCCGTGTCCTCACGGTCCCGCGCGTCCTCACGGTCCCACATTACAGAGGAGGAAACCGAGAGGAAAGAAATGACAGACCCTCCCGAGGTCACAGCTCCATGTCAGTGGCAGTTGGGATCGGGGCCTGACTTCCCAGGGCAAGAGGCCCCCACAGATACTGTGGGCCAGAGGTGCTGATGACAGAGGAGTGACCTCCTTCCTCCCCTTGATCCCCCAGAGCAAGGGCCACTGGACCGAAGGCCAGAGTCCAGATGGGGCCCCCTGGCTGCCTCTGCCCCCTGGGCACCCATGGGTGAACGCCTTGGTCCTCCTGGGCCTCCATTCCCCATCTGGAGAGAGAACGCATCTCTGCCCTGGCGACAGCAGTAGGACCTGTTCGTGGATCCAGGCCAGAAGATGGCGCAGAAGCTGTCCACAGACACAGGCACTTGCTGTGGATAGCGGAGGAAGCTGCCTGCCCTTCTGTGCCCTAGACACCAGCAGGAAGTGGGCTGGGAACCCGCCGTCCCCGGCCTCTGCCAACCTGGCCAGGAGGCTGGACCACAGCTGCCACCCAGATGGGCAGGAAATCCCATTTCCCACCGGCGCTGCCAGCCCGGCTCGCCAGGCCCACAGGTGCTGGCCCTTCTGCATCCCTTCCCTGACCTGAAGGTCAGAGGCACCAGGGGTCCCAGAGCCCAGCAGCTCTGCCTCTTGGGTGCCGCCCCCCAGGGCCACAGCTGTGTGGCGGGGGTAGTCTGGGCGTGTTGCTCTCTTCCTTAAAACCTCTCAGACCCCAGGCAAGCCCAAGGTCTGAGGCAGCTCCCAGGTCTGGAGTGGCGCGGACTGGGGAGCAGCTGCCTGGGCCTCCCCTCACCTGCTCTCCACGGCCCACTCCCGGCCTCACTTCCCTTGCCATGGGGACACTGACGTACGCTGTTCCCTTTGCCTGGAACACTGTCCCAGCTCTTTTTCTTTCTTCCTTTCTTTTCTTCCTATACTTACAAGGGGACTTCAAAAAGCTCTTGAAAAATGAAATTAAAGTATAAATTTGTTTTGGAGCAAAAAAAAGAAATCTAGAGCTTTATTATAACTTGCCAGTTCTGTGAACTGTTTGAAACCCCCTTGTCCTTATTTCTTCCATGAGCAAGCATGGGAGTGGCCGGGGGCACCCCCAGCTGGGCCCTCACACTGCAGCCACTGCAGCCGCGGCCGCCCAGGTCATGAGCACACACACATGCCTGCCATGCACAGGGAGACCCCGGGCGCGACCCAGGACCTTCCCTGCAGGTCAGCCTCACAGTGTCGCACCACCACTGTACTGTCCGCTGGCGCCACCCCAGCCCTTCACCTGACTGACTGCTTCTGCTTTCAGCTTGGACATCACCTTCTCCGAGAAGCCTTCCCGGCCCTCCTGGCCCCATTCTCGGGGCTCCCATAGCTTCTGAGGCCGAGTGCTCTCACGGCCTGGCCTGGCCTCTCTGCTCGAGCCCAAGCAGTGCGAAGGCTGGTCCTCACTGCTCAGGGCCACAGCTGTCCTGCTCACCTATACCCGACACTGGGAGACGGAAGAGAGGAGCAGACACATCCTGGGAGGACCCCACCCCAAGCTGGCACCGGGGACAACTGCAGCTGGAGTGTCGTCCCCCTCGGGGAGCCCTCAGTCACCCAACCTGACCCCAGCCCTGACAAGCACATTCTTGATTCTCTGTGCTCCTCGAGAGCTCCCAGCACCTGTCTCTCCACTGTGGCTGCTGCAGGCCCCCAGAGCCAGTCTGCGCCAGCCTGGTGTGCCAAGGAGCTGTGCCCACAGCTTCTGAGTAAGTCCCCCTGAACCGAGGCCCGGAACTCAGACATCATGAGCATCACAGCCAGCACCACGCCCCAGCCAGAGAGCGCGGACCTCCTGTCTGAGCCCTGTGTACACGCCGTCGTCGCGGCCGGCTCCCGTGCTAAGCGCCCGCCTCCCGCCTGATCGCTGACCGCCCCGGCAACATGGTGGGAGAAGCCATGTGGCCAGCCTTGCTTCACAGACAGGAACACTGAGGTCCTCTGCCTTCCCAGCACAGGGTGGCAAGTGACAGAGAAGAAATGGAAATTCAGGTCTCAGTGATGAGATGGGGTTTCTTCCCATGCTCGACCCAAACTGTCTCAGTGGTGGGCAGCCTGAGATGGCCCCAATGATGGATTTCTGCCTCCTCACACCCTGCACCCCCCGCCCCCCCGTGCCAGGGCTGGCCTGTGTGACCCGTAGGATGCGGCAGAGTGACAGCACATGGCTTCCCAGACCGCGGCCGGCTGTACCGCACCGCAGCTGGCACCTCGGAGCTCTCTCTGCATTCTCACTGGCTCGGGGCCGCAGCAGCAGCCGCCTTCGGGAGAAGCCCCGATGGTGAGGGGTAGGAGCCTCCAGGCAATAGCCGTGCAAGGAAGCTCCGAGGGAGTGCCCCAGCCCTGTCACATACGCAGGGGCTTCGATAAGTTCATGGAAATGGAATGAAAGTGCAAGTTCATTTTGGTGCAATAAAAATTTGAAACCCACAATAGTTTTTCATAGCCTGCATTTTCCATACACATGTGAAAGACCCCCATCTTGATCAGTTTCATGACAGACCCTGAGCCAGATGCACACAGCCAAGCCACTCCCAGGTCCCTGCCCATCCGGCTGGCTGTTGTTAGCCACTACATTCTGGGTGCGCAGTGACAGCAAGAAGCAGCGTGCATGGTCTCCCTCCTGACATCCCTTGTCACCTCCAGAGCCACAGGATGCAGACTGGGCCCTGGCAGTCCATACTGCGGGCCTTCGCTCCCCACTCAGAGGCGGGGCCAAGGGCTGGTGGGGCAGGAGAGGGTGGGGACAGGGGTGCACTCACGTCCAACCTCCAAGTGGACTTCTGCAGCAGCGTCACCCAGCTCACTGACAGCTCGGCAGGTGTAGACACCAGCGTCCCTCTCCTGAGCGGCCTGGATCCGCAGCACCCCAGACCTGGAGTCCTCAGGGGCCAGGATCATCTCAAGACCACCTGGACCAAAGACAAGAAAGCAGCAGGTGGGGCTCTTGGTTGCCAAGGAAACCAGGGTAGTGGCCAGGGTAGCCAGAGACCCCAGCACCAATGTCCTGCAATACCACGAGGCTGGAGCCTAGGAGGACATGGATGAAAGCAGGTGTACCCCCAAACTCAGGATGCCTGGGTCCAGTCCTGTGAAGTCCTGGTCTTCCCTGAGCCCCTTTGTTGAGCATGGTTGGGGTTCAGATAACCCCCCCTCCATGACAGGCTCATTACCCAAGAATTTCCATCCCTCTGCCCCAGATCCAGACTGAGATTCGGACCAACTATGGGTGGGCTAGGAGACCCCGAGATGACCCCACCTGACCTGTGCCTGTCTGTCTGGAGCCCCAACCAGGCAGGCCTCCCTGACATGTGCCCCTGGGGCTCTGCCGCTCCTCCTGCCACACTGCCCTGCTAGCGCTCCCTGCTTTCAGCACTCACTGTGGTAAGGGCACCTGCCACAGAGGAGCGCCCACAGGCACGCTGTGGCATTAAGCCAGTGTCCTGGATACACTGCTCTGGGAAAGACGGAGGCCCGGGGCCTGGCGCTCAGTCTCCAGCTGGTACTCCTCAGAGTCCTGGGACGACCCCATGGTCTCAGCTAACCCGCTCGCTGGCAGCTCGCTACAGACTGGGCACACGTGGGCTCCTTCTCCTCACCCAAGCCACCCATGACTGTCCCCATCTCCCAGAAAAGGGAGCTGAGGCTCAGAGATGCCGAATTGCTGGCCCAAGGCCACACGGTGGGGCCGGAATTCAAACCTGGGTCTGACCACTGCAGCATCAACTGTGCTGACACTGGACGGGGTGGGATGGGGGCCCCTGGCGCCAGCTGGCTCCCTGGGATACCCCTTCAGAGTGCCCCCCTACAAAGACCTTTCTGAAAAGCCGTTCCTCCAGGGTCCCAGTGGGACAGTTCCTCCAGGGCCCCAGTAGGACAGTTCCTCCAGGGCCCCAGTGGGACAGTTCCTCCAGGGTCCCAGTGGGACAGTTCCTCCAGGACCACATACCTCGATACCAGACGACCCGGGGCGGGGGGACCCCGGACGCCTTACATGCCAGCACGGCCTCCTCCCCGACGGCTGTGAGCACCACGGCGTTGATGGCAGAGACGGACGGAGGGTCTGTGCAGGAGGAGACGGGGACATGGGACCAATGCGCAGTGCCCCAGAGCAAGGCTTCCCACAGCCTGGGGCTCCCCTCTCTGCCCCCTGCCCCACTCCATGCAGCCTCCTGACAGTCCCTTGAGCACCTCAGGGCCTTGGCCCTCCTGGTCCCTCTGTCCAGAATGCTGCTCCCACGGCGGACCCCACGGCGAGGGCCACCTCTGCAAGGCCACTGCTGAGCCCTGCACATGGCGGCCACTTTCCTCCCGTCCCCAGAGGCACATGTCACCCTGCACTGCCAGCCCCACGCTCTCCGGAGACCCTCCCCTGGGGAAGCAGCACACTCCATCCACCTGTGAGCTGGTTTTGGGCTTCCCCGCCAGAATGTACACTCCCTGCCTCCCCCATGCCACCCTGGGCCTGGCACATAGTGAAGGCTCGGTAAACGTCCGTGGGCGGTGGGCGGCCCCGGGAGGAGGGGCTCCCTGCCCGGCAGGTGTGTGTGGCCCGAATACCTGTATGGTAGAGAGTGACCGTCTCCTCGTCTGTGCCAAGCTCATTAACAGCCCGGCAGCTGTAATTCCCAGCATCCTCTGGGGCTACATCCTGAATGATCAGGGCTCCCTGGGTGTCCACTCGGATCCTGGAGTCATGCCACGAGATAGTGAGTCGCACAGGGGCCACGCCCCAGTCAGCGTTGGCGACCAAGGAATTAACATCCCGGGGACAGCCACACAGCAACCATGTGCTCTGGGCCAGGCTGTGCCAAGTATTTCCCTACATTGTTTTTTTAGCTCCTAAGGCACAGAGAGGTAAGACAACTTGCCCAAGGTCACACAGCCTGCTCGGTACAGGCAGGATTCAAGCGCGGCTCTGTGGGTTGCGGAGACCAAGCTCCTGACCACTGGGTCCTCTCTGGGCATTATGGCTCCAAGGGGATCTCCCTAAGTCACTAAGGATCCCAGGAGGAAGGCAGGAAAGTGCCGCTCCCCATTATAGGCAAGAAGACCAAGGCCCAGAGCACCCCGGGGGCCCCAGCCCTTACTGCTGGTCGTAAGTGGCACCCTGGGTCTCTCACCTGCCATCCTCCTGCAGGGTGCGGCCCTCCCGGCTCCATGAGAGGTGGGGTGCAGGGTACCCAGAGGCGGAGCAGCTGACCTTCACCTCCACGCCCTCGGAGAAGCGCTGGGACTTGGTGTGGATGCTGACCTGTGGGGCCTCTGTGGTCCCCAGAGTGGACAGGCAGAGGAAGATTATCAGAGCAGCTGTGCCACCCGGGAGCCCTGCCCACCCTCTGTCCCTCCCCGTGCCACAGGTGGATGATAAAAGAAGCAAAGGCCGGAGGCCCTGAATGCCCCAGAAAAGCGTCCCTGGAAACCGGGTAGACCAGGTAGCCGCAGAGCACGTCCCAGGCCATATGGGCAGCACACTGCCCGATTCCAGCCTGGGTGCTGGTGCTCCCTAGAGTGCTGCTCCAGGTTGAGCCCCTGGGGGAGGCTGAGGGCACTGTCAGGAGCTGCCAGGCTGGGGTCTTTATCCCCAAGGGGCCCTGAGGAGGCCTGCGGCCTTCCCTAATATTGGTCCCAACTTGGGTTCTAACCCAGCCCATGAAAACTCCCAATGCAGCAGACTTGTCAGGCTCCCCCAGAAACAGCTAGCCCCCAACACCTGAGGCAGACACCACCAGCAGGTCCCCTTTCTACAGAGCCTAGATATGGCCTCGGAACCCTGCTTAGCATGCTCCAGGAAGCATACCCAGAGTCGCCGGCACAGGAGAGAGCACATGCTCCTCACACTTTTACATCTGGGGAGATAGCACCCCGGGACCAGGATCCGAGGCCACAACTAGGTCTACAAGCTCCCAGGCGAGTGCTCTTCCCATTGCTTCCTTTACCCTCATCGGGCCAGTGCCACCCAGTCTGCCACGCACACCTGACCGCTGAGCCCGTGCGTGGTTCGGGTGTGCAGTCTGTCTGCATGCTGGGCAGGGTGGCGGGGAGACAGTGGGAGCTCAGTGGCCGGGGAAAGGACGAGCCCCAGTGAAATCAGCTTGGTCTACAGCAATAGGCATTTAGGTTAGATCTTGGGACGAACTTCCCCAAAGCGAGAACCACTAGGCTTTGGCTTGGAGGCCACAGAATCCTCTTCCCCGAGGGCTCGGAGAACACGGAAAGGCTGCTGTTGCCACAGAGACAGCGAGTAGAGACTGGGCTGAGGAGTGGCTGGAGGGGTGAGCGCTAGGTGGCGTGCTGAACTGGGGGGACAGCAGTGGCAGGAGGAGGCTCACCTCTCACCAGGAGCCAGATGGATGCCCTTGCCACCCCGTTGGCATTGCTGGCCACACACTGGTACCGCCCTGCATCACTGGGAATGATGCCGCTGACCTCCAGGGACAGGTTGGCCAGCTGGGTGACTCGGCCCACCGAAGTTGGCAGGACCCGCCAGTCCCGGACCCATGTCAGGTTGTAGGGGGCCTCGCCGAGGACCTGGCAGGATAGGATGGCGGTCTCCCCCGGGGACACGGTCATGTTGGGGGCAGGAACCAGCTGCGGTGGGGGGTCTGCAGGAGCATGAACACAGGAGGAACTGAGAGCCTGAGGCAGGGAGGGAGCCCTCCTGCAGGCCACGATGGTGTCCAGATCCTGGGACCCCGCTGTGCAAGCCGGCCTGTACCATGGCGCTCAGGACGTGTCAGCCGGCAGAGCGGGAGCCGGCATCTGCTCACCATCCTGGGACGGTGGCACCAGGGAGGGCTCAGTGTCCGCCCAGCGTCTGCCCTGCAGGGCTGCCGTCATGTGTGTGTTTTCCAGCCCCAGCCAAGTGTGGTCCTTAGCAAGCCTCACACCATCTTCACGCCCTTCACGCCAATAACTGCGCCCGAGGGAATAAAGCGTCAGAAATAACCA